TCACCAAGGCTCTAAACCTGTGATGTGTCATACATCAGTAAGCATTGATTACTCACTCACAATGTGTCAGCCAATGCATTCTTCTCCTTCTACCCACCAAGTTCTGTAAAGTCTACCCTCAAAATTCCTCATCTCTGTTCTTTTTCCAGAATCAACACTAAATTTAAGCCAACACTATGTCTACCCTGGACTATTCCAATATAGCCTCTGAACTGGTCTTCACTTTTGTCCATCTTAACATCCTGATCAGATTGAGTGTCCTAAAATCACACTTTAGTTATGAAAAGAAAACTAGAGTTAGGAGTTGTTGGGGTTCAGTCATTTTAGTCATGTCCAACCCTTTGGGACCCTATTTGAGGCTTTCTTGGCAAAGATATTGGAGTAGTTTGCTATTTCTTTCTCCAGCTCATTTTGCAGATGAGGAAACTGAGGCAAACAGGGTTAAGTAACTAGCCACAGGGGCTACACAGCCAGTAAGTGTCTGAGACTAGATTTGAACTTGGGAAGAGGAGTCTTCTTGACTTCAGGTCCAGTACCCTATTCCCTATGCCACCTGGCTATCCAAAGAGTCAGGAGACCTGGGTTCTAATACTGGCTTTGTTACCAATTAGCTAGCTGTGTGGTATTGGGCAAACTGGTTAACTTCTCTAGATCTCACATGAGGTATTTAGACTAAATGATTTCTAAGTTGCCTAACAGTTCTAATAACCTATAATTCTATTTTGTGTCTTTTCCTGTTCAAGAACCTATGTCTCCCTACTGATTACAAGATAGATATGAAATAGCTCAACCTGGCACTCAAGGAATTCTGACATGGAATCTCAACCTACCTTTCCAGGCTTGTCTCTCATTATTTCCCTCCACATACCCCAACCTCTAATACAGGCTTCCAGTGATCCAAATTAACACCAAGCTCATTCTTAACCTCCAGTGCTTTGCTCACTGTTTCTCCTACCTCACCCCCCTCATTTTTGCCTATTTAAGTCCTACTCAACATTCAATTAACAAGCATTTATTAAACAGATATTATGAGCCAGGTACTGGGGCTAGAAGATTTGGATAGAAATACAAATTCTTGCCAAAGTCCCCTCCTCCTCCACAAAGCCTTCTCTGACTTTTCTATTCCACCTATCCGACAGGACTTACTACATCTTTCAGCATTAATTGTCTGGTATGTTATTCAGATTTTTGCCATAAGTCCCCCCTGTCTTGGCAGGGATCATGCCTTTTGATGGTTGTGTTGTACTGGAAAGAATACTAGATTTTAAAGTCAAAAGACCCATTAAAATGTAAGCTCCAGGGCAGGTAGTGGTGAAGTGGATAGAGCATCAGTCCTGGAGTCAGGAGGACTTGAGTTCAAATTTGGCTTCAAACACTTGAAACTTACTAGCTGTGTGACCTTGTGCAAGTCACCTAATCTGGACTGCCTCATTTTAAAAAAAAAAGAAGCTCCTTGAGGGCAGGGACTATTTTTGCATTTCTTTGTATCCTCAGTGCAAGGTGCCTGGCCCAAAATAAGTACTTGTTGGTTGATGGAAGTCCCAGTTTTGCCATTTATAGCAGTGTTATGCTGGGCAGGTGATTTTCCTCATCTGTAAAATGGGGATAATAATAGCAACCTACTTGCCAGGGCTGCTGCGAAGATAAAATGAGATATTTGTAAAGCACTTCAGCAAAACCTTAAAGTGATAGATAAGTGCCAGCTATTTCTTATTAAGACTCTCCAGCCCTTCAGGCTATAAAGATTAGGAAAGGAAGAATCCCTAGATAGCAGGTTCCCCTGTACTCAGCTCCTCTGCTCCTTCCCTCTACCCTCCTAATTGTGATGTCAGCAAGCTTATCACCCTTGCACCCCAGAAGAGTCTAGGATGCACACATTGCTTTCCAGAAACTGGGGGGGGGGAAGGAGGTGGAGGGAATGGATGTCACCTTCCCACGACTATCTTCTGAGCAAACAGGCCGGGGGGGGGGGGGCTGACACGGGGACTCTGATCTTCAGAAAGTTCAGCTCTCCTGATTCCTTTCCTCCTCTTCACAAAGTGCAATCACTTTGTCCCTGCTTACCTCCATTTTCCCCATCAGCTCAGCAACAGTTCTCCTGGTCCCTCTCTTTCAAATGGATCTTTTTATATCTCAATATGGTGGGCTATCATAAGATTTTAAAGTTGGAGCCTTGGAGTTGTGAACTGATCCAACCATTCTGGAGAGCAACTTGGAACTATGCCCAAAAGTCTACTATCATACTGTGCATACACTTTGATCCAGCAAAACCACCACTAGGTCTGTATCCCAAAAAGATTAAAAAAAAAAAAGGAAAAGGACCTATTTGTACACAAATATTTACAGCAGCTTTTTCTGTGGTGGCAAAAAATTGGAAATTGAAGGGATGCCCATCAATTGGGGAATGGTTGAACAAGCTGTGGTATATGATTATAATGGAATATTATTGTGCTATAAGAAATGTTGAGCAGAATGATTTCTGAAAAACCTGGAGAGACTTACATGAACTGATATAGAGTGAAGGGAGCAGAACCAGGGGAACACTGTATATAGCAACAGCAACATTGTGTGATGATCATCTGTGAATGACTTAGCTCTTCTCAGTAATACAATGATCCAAGACAATTCCAGAGGACACATGATAAAAAAATGTTATTCACCGCCAGAGAAAGAACTAGGGTCTGAATGAAGCATACTTTTTTTTTCACTTACTCTCTTTCTTTCTTTTTTAGTTTTCTTCCACAAAATGACTAACATGTTAATATTTTCCATGTTTGCACATGCATAACCTGCATCAGATTGCTTGCTGTCTCAGGGAGGGGATAGGGGGTAGGGAGGGATAGAATTAGAAACTCAAGACTTAAAAAAAAATACAACAAATATTAAAAATTGTTTTTACATGTAATTGGGGGGAAATAAAATATTATTAAAAATAAAAATAAATTTTTAAAAAGTTGGAGCCTTGAAGGATTATCTATTCCAATTCTTTAATTTTACAAATTAGAAAACAGAATAAGAGGGAAATGACACAGGTGGATGTGAACACAGGGCTCTAGGACTAAAAATTCACTAATTCTTTCCATTGCATTAAACTTAACAGAGATAAAGACAAATTCAATTACGCCTGAAGGAGTTTTTTGGTAAAGGGGTGGGGATGTTGAACCAGGAGAAAACCAGTGGGGATATAAGTGGGGCATGAGAGTTGTCTTCAAGGATTTAAAGTTTCCTTGTGGAAGAACAATTAGATTCCAGTCTAACAAAAGTTGCAGGGATTCAGATTTCTGCTCATTAAGGCTACCCCCTACCCCAACTTGTCTGAGAATGGAATGAGGTTACTTTCTGAGCTAGTGAAGTGGAAGTATTCATGTGAAAGATGAACAACACTTGTCAGGAGATGGTTAATGGGAAATGTGAAGAGGGTGACCAGCATGGGCAGTAGGACAAAAGGCCTGAGCCTGTGCCCTCTTCGAGGTGCACACTGCCACCTCTTGGCCAGATTTTGTCACTACAGGAAATGGTTGGAAATCCCATCTAGACTTTGCCCACTTCGCCTATAGATAGGCATCTCTGGTGGGATGAAAAAAGGGCTGGAGGGAAAAAGAGAACTCGTAGCACTTTAGGATTGGAGGAATTGGAGCGATGACTACACCTCTCCTTGGATCGTGCCACCCAGGAAGAACTGAGAGCTTGCAGACCTCCAGAACTAGCTCTGAAATATCTCCTAGCAGGAATGAAAGTCTCTCTCCAAGAGGGTTGAGAGAAGAGGATAGGATGTTTGTTCTGCATCCCTTGCAGCCACACATAACTACAGCCCCCCAACACATGCTGCCCCTCTCTCCACTTGGGGCACCATATCCTTATGTGTTGTTGCTCTGTAAGAATATAATTTTTGGTTGCTTATATTTTCTAAGATATTTTGGGGTTTGAGGGCTGGGTTTTTTTTCCTTCTGAAAGCTGGGACAATTTATTTTTTGTCCTGTGCTATTTTAGTACATTTTCTCTTGACTGGCCCACTGTGTTCCAAATGGAACTACTGGACAAAACCTTTAAACTCAAGTCACTCTGGCTTTCATTGAATGGCCAATAATAACCCCCAGCCCAAGCCTCTATAGGGGCAGCTAGGTGGGTCAGTGGATAGAGTGCTGAGCTTGGAGTCGGGAAGACTCATCTTCCTGAGTTCAAATCCAGCCTCAAACACTTACTAGCTGTATGACTCTGGGCAAGTCACTTAACCTGTTTGCCTCAATTTCCTCATCTGTAAAATAAGCTGGAGAAGGTAATGGCAAACTACTTCAGTATCCTTGCCAAGAAAACTCCAAATATGTCAGTGAGAGTCACAATCAGTCATGAATAAACAAAACCAAGCCTCTACGGCTCATTGTTTAGCTTTTGACGGCTTAGAAGGAGTATAAATAGCAGTTGCTTTCTGTTCTTGAAAGAAACTTTAAAATCCAGTTTCAGACACTTGACACTAGCTGTGTAAGCCTGGGCAAGTCACTTAACCCCAACTGCCTCACCAAAAAAAAGAAAAAAAGAAACTTTAGTCTTCCCCTCTTAGACTGCCATTTTTGTGGTTAGGCCATCTTTTGTCTCAATATCTTGCCTGGCCCTTAGTCATAGAATGGGCATTGCTTTCAGACAAACTGAAGCTTGGGTAACCTTGATTTAGAAAGGCCACTGCATTCCCAACCAACCATTACCAGTCATCCTGAAATCTGTCTAGCCACCGGGCTTCCATGATTCTAGAAGAAAGTGAGCCAGACAACTTTAAGTAACTCTGCCTCACTAAGTCTAATTCATGATCACTCTCGTGATGTTAGTGGTTTTCAAAAAAAAAAAAAAACAAACGAAGGACCAACAGCTGAAACCCTTAGAGCTGTAATGACGACTACAGCTGGGCCAAGGGCCTGAAGGCAGAAGGACTACAGGTCTCAGGGCTGTCAATTTACTGTTTATTCCAGCCCACCATGATGCTTTCCCTAAGAGAAGGAGACAAGACAGATATTCAAGAAATATTTATTGAGACAGACAGCAACACAGAGGGATTCTGGGGAGAAGCTGCTTTGTTAAGGGCAGTAGGAAGGATCTGAGGGGGCATCTGATACTACCCTCCTTCAGATAACAGCTGAAGCCAAAGACCTTTGAATCCCTAGGAATCTTGGAGGAAAGACTACACTCCACCATCCTGAAGTGGTGGCCCAGGGAGACCAGGTCCAAAGGGAGAGAAACTCTAGGATTCCTTATTTCCTAATGATTGAGAGGGAAGCCCAATTGTCCCAAGGAATAGGGTGGGGAGAGCCAAAGAGAAGCCTTGTTGCTCAGTGGGAGGATTCAAGCACAGCACCAGACTCTGAGTCAGAAGACCTGGATTGGGACCTCAGGAAAGTGGTAGATACTTAACTAGCTGGGTGCCCAAAGATAAAAGTCATTTCATGTCTGAACCTGTTTCACCTGAAAAATGGAGATAATACAAGGGGTCCGAAAAATCTGCATGTGCTTTTAAACTACAATAGCTTAAAAACACGCTAAGATTTTTGGGACACTTTGTACTTATGCTACCTACCTGACAGGAATATTGAGGAAAGCATTTTGCAAGTCTTTAAGCACTCGATAAAATGTTTGGCATTAATATCATCTGAAATGGACTTTGCCACTCCATTTCCCACCTGTAAATCACATCTGAGAAGGGACATATGGCACCAGATGCTTTGGGAGGGGTGGGGAGGTGGCTAGAGTTCCTCCAGCCTTCCCTATCAGTCCCACATGCTCCAGGAGCCCCACCCTGATTTCCCAAGTTCACAATGAACTATCCTTTCTAGGCTGCTTTGAGCCTGAACCATGTGTGTACTTAAACCGTTTGGTGCATATATATTAAAATGGGCAAGTCACCAGTTCTCTGGCTTTGGTCTCCCCATGGACAAAGAGAGGTCAGATGAACTGAATTTTCAAGGTCCCTTAGAGCTCTAGGGTTCTCTGAACTTCTATGCATCCTGTAGTTAGGACTCTGAAGTCTATCAATTAATCAGTCCTTGGTTGTCCTGGTGGGTTGTAGGTTCTTAATCTACCTGTGAGCTCCCTTCTGTCTCCATACTGGGCGCAAAGAGGATGGGGTGCACCCAGGAGAGACCTGCTCATTGATATACCTTTAACATAGAGCCCTGGAGATGTTCGTCCTGTGGAACATTCAGTCAGAACTCTCTTTAATGAAAAGGTTCAGCCCCTTCTCTGCCTTCCCCCCAGTCAGTCACACAGCCTGGGAGACAGATGAAGTTTTTGTTAGTTAGCACTTTGGGGTCCCAACCCCTCAAGGGCTCTGAAAAGAAAGGTGAAGGGGTTTGGGGGAGTCCACAATGGAAGGGGAGGAAAATCACATGATTGGCAGCACCTACCTGGAAGGCAGGAGGAGAGGAGATATTGGGGGAGGGGGAAAAAGTAGGGGGTACAGAACAGGCCACTGGTCCCCTTTGCATAGCCAGGACAGGGAGCTAGACATATAAGGCGTCTGGTGAGGGTGAGTGTGGGAGGTATCACAGTTCCAAACTGGGGGCTAGGGCACTCAAGAACACCACCTCCACTACTCCCCCAGACTGCTGCCCAGGAAGTAGATTTAGGTTCACTGCAGACCCAAACCCCCTATACTGTGTCTGTATCCCTGTGTTTAAGTGTGTGCCTGAATACAAACCCGCTGAGGGTCTGGCCTGTCTCTGCGTCCATGAGAGTCTGACCATCTCAATCTCACACTGACTCAGGTACCCTCATCAGTTCTGGGCAGGGAAAGGGGTGTCAATGGGAGGGGGAGATCAATGTCCCTGGCTGGAGAGGTAGGTGGTGAGCTCCAGATACAGTGCCCTGGCATAGACCCGGACAGTGTAGAAGAGTGTGAGAAAGTCCTGGGTGCTGAAGAATGTGTCGGCCAGTGCAAAGCCCAAGGTGGAAGGGATGAAGCCCCGGCCGTACTCCACCATCCACGTGCCAGCCCCCCACTGCACTGCTGTGGCCTCCCCAGGCCCGTGAACAATGGTGTCTCCTAGAGTTGAAGAGGATAAGAAGAGTGAAGGGGAGAGGGAAGACAGAAAGGTGGCAGGGGGGCAGGACAGTGCTCCCCTGAAATCAGAACCACTTCCCTTCCCCACTTCTCATCCTAACCTCCCAGGCCTTTTCATCTTAACCCCCCAAGCCCTTTCATCTTAATTATCTCCAAACTATACTTATCACCAACCCAATCCAGACTGCCTTCTCCTCCAGCAATCAATGCTGATCCTGTCAGCCCTCACACACCTGGGTAGTAAACTTCACTCTTGGTTGTCCCCTCTCTCCACTGGCGGAAGGTCCCAGAGATGACTGTGTCTGAGATTTCAGCCCAGTATCGTCCTGAGGGGAGAGAAGAGGCAGATCAGTGGTGTGCTTCTAATATAGTCCATGCTTGGGGCAAACACTGGGAAGGGGGAAGATGGATGAAGAAAAGTAGTGAGGTAACATAGGTCCCCCCTGAAAATAATGGATCTGGGCAGAAAAAGGGCAGGGTTCATCATTCCTCTCCCTCTCCCCTGCCCATCTCCTCTCAGGTTCACCACAGCAGCGACTACTGATGGTTTATGGCCTCCCTCCCCTACCCCTGTGTCCAGCCCCCTCCTCCCCTAACCAAGGTCCAAACTGACCAGAGTGGCCCCCAGTGTCGATGGCTGTGCCGAAGAGCAGCACGTACTCGGTGAGTGAAGCATGCAAGATGCACATGGAGCCCATCCACCCGCCGGCGTTCACAAAAATCCACTGTAGGTCCTCATCTGCCAGGATGTGGCCAGGGTGCAGCCGCCGGAGCTCCACAATGAGGCGAGAGAAAGCCAGCTCATGATCAAGGCCTGGTGTAGTGGTGGTGGTGGGGGGATAAGTAGGGGGATCAGGGGTCTGACTAGCCCCAGCCTCCCAAAAGTCAGACTCAGATTCCCCTGGTCCAGAATCTATACTTGCCCTGATAGTGGGATGGGGTGGGGAGGGCAGGAATAGACTCTGACCACCCCCTACAATCTAACTCCAAATACCCTTTTTCTTCCAGGACACACACAATTCCTGGGAGGCCAGAACCTCTTCCCAACCTAAGGTGTACATATTGGAATAATCCAAGATTTGGAACTAGAAAGGACCATAGAAATAATCTAACTTAATTCCTTTTACAAATGCCAAAGATCAGGCATCTCTCTTTCCAAACCTCATTTACTTTGAGGAGAGGAGTTTGTGCCCCCCCAGAGCATTTTGTGTGTGTGTGTGTGTGTGTAGCAGATCAAATTATTTTGTACTGGAAGGGACCTAGAGACCATTTAGTCCAAACTCTTCATTTTACAAATGTGGAAACTGAGGTCCAGGGAGTTGAAGGGACTTAGCTACAGTCATACAGGTAATAGCAGAGCTGTGAGGGGTTTCTAAGACCTCTGATTCTATATCAGGGGTTCTTTACTTTTCTTTTGCAATGCACCCTTTTGGTAGTCTGGTGAAACCTATAGACTCTTCAAAATATTTTTAAATGCACAAAATAAAATAAGGATTATAAAGAAGGCCAATTATGTTGAAATCCGGTTATTAAGACGTAAAAAACAGAAACAACAAGTTCATGGTCCCCAGGTTAAGAACCCCTTCCTACTGGATTCTTACATAGCCCTAAATGCTAGGTGGTGAAGTGGATAGAGTGTGTACCGGGGTCAGGAAGTTCTGAGTTAAATACAAATATGGCACTGATACCCAAACCAGGAAGAGTCAAAACACAGAAAGAAAATTATAGACCAATTTCTCTAATGAATATAGATGCAAAAATTTTAAACAAACTACTAGCAAATAGGTTACAGCAACTTATCACAAGAATAATACACTATGACCAGGTAGGATTTATACCAGGAATGCAGGGTTGGTTCAATATTAGGAAAACTATCAGCATAATTGAGCATATCAACACTAAAACCAACAGAAACCACATGATCATCTCAATAGATGCAGAAAAAGCTTTTGACAAAATACAACACCCATTCCTATTAAAAACACTAGAAAGCATAGGTATAAATGGAGTCTTCCTTAAAATAATAAATAGCATCTATCTAAAACCGTCAGCAAGCATTATATGTAATGGGGACAGGCTAGGAGCATTTCCAATAAGATCGGGGTGAAACAAGGATGTCCATTATCACCACTGTTATTCAAGATTGTACTGGAAACGTTAGCTTTAGCAATACGAGAAGAGGAAGATCTGAGTTAAAATCCTGCCTCAGCCACTTAACAGTAGTATGACCCTAGGTAAGTCACTTAATCTCTGTGATAGGTCTTAGTACAGTGCTCGGAACATAGGACGACTTCCACCTTCCCATGCGTATCATGGATCCCATGTTTCTTCCCACACACTGGGACTTGAGGTGACATACAAGCATCACTCACTAGTGATGACTCCAGCATGGAGCCCATAGATTCCAACTTCCTCATTTTACAAAGAAGTTAAGTGAATTGCCTTGGCTCACACAGCAGTATTCACACTCAGGTCTTCCTTCATCCGAGTCTACTACCTGTGTCCCCTAACTGTCGGAGTCAGAAGACCTGGCTTCTGGTACCAGATCAGTTCCTGCCTCCCTGTGTGACCTTCAGCAAATCATTTCATCTCTCTAGGCCTCAGTTTCCTCTAGCTGTAAAATGAGGAGTATGGAATAAATGGTCCCTTGGGTCCCCTCCAACCTCTGAATCCTCAGACCTGCCTAAGATGCTGCCTCCTGACCTCCCACACATGCACGCACAACAGAAAGCCAATGGGTCACCGACTCCTCCAAATCGCCGCACGCCCGGGGTGGGGTGGGGGATGGGAAAGGGACTCCGGATCCTCGTAGGACACACGTGGCTCCTTCCCTAAGCCTAAGCCTCCCTCGGTCGCACAGGCTCCCCGGTGCACCCGGGGGCTGCTGTTCCTCTCCCTGATTCCCACGTTAACAGTCGTTTTCCTAGGAGGGACAGTCTCAGCGGTGCCCCAGGAGGGGGGCCCCTTTGCAGGCACCCTCCTGCTCCTTCACCACCCCCGCCCCGACCTAGGTGCATGGTGCCCTGTGCAGGGCACCCCGTCTCGTGCCCCCGCCCGCGCTCACCTGCGTACTGGCGCGCCAGCTGCGCGATCTCCTCGCGCTGGAAGACGAAGCTCTTGGAGTCCAGCCAGATGCGGATGCCCTGCACCAGCACCGCCACGATGGCCAGCCCCACGGCCATTCGCAGGGCACGCGAGCTCCTTGTCCACTGCATCCCGGCGGTTGCTGGACGGGGGAGCGGGGAGAACTACGGGAGGAAGAAGAGTGGTCGCCTAGAGCAGGAAGCAGCTTCTAGCAGCGCGAGCCGGCGCCGGGCACGGATAGGCTAGGTACCGCGCACGCGCGCGCGCACGCGGAAAGCCGCGGGACCTTGGGATAGGGGCTGGGGCCGGGGGCGGGAAGCCAACTACACTGGATCGCCGCAGCGCGCACCGCCTCCACCGGCCCGGGAACCCGGCCAACGTCACCCAGCTCCCGCCGCCGCCGTCGTCTCAGGCTATGGTACATCCACTTTCCTCCAATTGGGGAAGGATGGATCCTCAAGGCCCCGCCTCCTCGGATTGGCCCATTCTTGGGACATTGGAGGGAAAGGGAGCTTAATGGCTGGGACTGAGGGGCGTGTACGGCGCTGGGAGGCGGAGACAAAATTCCGGCGTCAATCTTTTCTAATCTAATCCAATCTAATCCTTGAATTTGAACTGCCAAGCACTCTGCCCAGTAGCGAACGGGAGGTGTTATCCCCTGCGAGGTCCTCCATCCACTGCTCCTAAGGCCATTCCCAGGCTGCGGTCTCGGAGCTCCCCCACCACCCGCCTTGTCTGGTCCTAAATAACTAAAGTTCAGGAGGAAGTCACACTCCATCACCGATTTCTGGGATCTGAACTCATTTGTGCACAGCAAACCCTCACTCTTCTTTGATCACTCTTCATCTCTCTCCCTTCAAGGGCCGTTTCTACCTTTCCAAGCAGAGTGACGGATTTCGACAGAACAAGAATATAGGGCAAAGTCCAAGCTGCTGCACCCTTTCCAGTGCTGATAACTGCCATGTATGAAAGCTTCAGTGTGGCCTATAAAAGTTATGTAAAGTTTATAAAAGCTTCTGTATGTTTTTTTATGATAATGCTGATAGCTGCCAAGGAAATGATGAAAGCTAAATATCAAGTGATAAATGCAATTAGAAAAACTTTTTTTTTTCAATAGCAGCCGCGTTGTGCGATGACTAACTTTGATAGATTTAGCCCTGCTCAGCAATTCAAGGATCTAGGACATCTCCAAAGGTCTCATGATGGAAGATGCTATCCACATCCAAAGAAAGAACTATGGCTTTTGAATGCAGATCAAAGCATACAATTTGCTCTTTTTTTTCCTAATGTTTGGTTTTGTTTCCTCTTTCTTGTGGTTCCTTCTATTGGTTCAAATCCTTCCTTATAATATGATTAATGTGAAAATTATTTAATAGGAATGTATATGTATAGCCTATATCAGATTGCGAGCCCTCTTGGGGAGGAAGGTGGAGAAAAATTTAAAACTCAAAAATTATAGAAGTGATTGTTGATAAATCAAAATAAATTAATAAAAAAAATGTTTTGGAGGCACCCTCTTCATGTGATTGTGGACCTGTCAGAGTCTCTTTCTGGAACTAAAAGGGCTTTTGCAATAGAATTAGATGAGGAAGTCAGTGTTGCGAGGATGAGGTCCTTATTTTTGTGTGTTTAAGTGAAGGCCCCAAAGAGAAGGATTCGAAGTTTCACTAGAGACATTCAGGGGAGCAGGAGGCAGCAACAATAAGGGAAGGATATTAGGGTAGCTCAGTGACCCACTGCCCACCTTTCACGCAGGGGTCAGGGCTGTAGGAGGACCTCACAACTATGCTAGTACATTTTCCCTCACACTGTAGTAGGGACTATCTTCCAAAGCAGGTCAGGGAAGCCCAGAAATGTGATCTCAGGCACAGTGATCTTCAGGCCATGGTAGATAGGAGTTCACAATAGTCTAAAGCTTTGGGGCATGTCACCAAACTCTGGAATCAGAGTAGCTCCTAGATCAGCTGAGTGTCATGAAGGATTTTGTCAGAGCTACTCAGAAAACTCTGAATGGTTTCCCGCTTTGGGGATCATAGACAGGGAAATACCAATTACCTAGAAAACTGGGAATGTCTAAGCCTGGATTGTTCCCAAGTACAGATGTTTCCAATTTATGGGGTGGGGGAAAGGGGAAGGAAAATTTCCAGAGAAGGTGCAGGACAGGGAGGAGATGCCAGGCAGGTGGATGGGCCGTGACTAAGGAATAGACAATTTGTTAGACAAAGAAAGACTAGGCTAGAAAAACAAAAAGTTTTTTAAGACTATAGAAAGACTTAATTAGCTTAATAGCTAAAGATGTGTTAGTTAGCCCTGGGTGCATTGATGGAGCAGTTTCACAAAAGTTGTTGAACAAAAAAATTTCAATAACTTTGAAGAAGTCCAGTTTCTTTAAAGAGGAAGCCACAATCAAAGAAATAACTGTAGAATCTATAAAACATTTTTTAGTAATACCAAGTTTAATAAAATTAAAAATTCAGATATAGAGAGGGTAGCCACTGAGCAGAGAAGAAACCCAGATAACAATAGCAGTTTGGCAAAGGTACAGCAAGCAGCTTTGGAGGCAGAATAGAAAACAGCAACAAGGCAAAAAAACCTGTTGGAGAGAGAATTGTGTCCTAGCCATGAGTATATGAGTCATCCAGGAAAAGTGTCCTTCCCCACTGGCAGAAGCACAGTGCTGGCACATAATAGATGCTTAATAAATGCCTCTTGACTTGATTGTCACTGGGAATCTGAAGGATATAGGGACATTTTCTCTTGCTATTTTCATTGCTGTCTGGTCTCTATTTGATCCTGGAATCCTGTTTGATTCTAGGTTTATTGATAGAGAATGCCCTGGATGGGAACTTGGGGCATATTTGCATAATGGATTACCCCAAACATCCAACCTATATCTGGATAACATGGAATTACAGAGTCGTGTGGAACTCATGCTACATTTCTCCTTTGTCCTAAGTCCCCCCTAATTTGTTCTATACTTTCTCTCAACAGATAATCTCATCTCCTGCTTTACCGAAAAAAATAGAGGCCATCTGTTATGAGCTCCCTCTTCTTTCTTATCCCATACCTGGAAACCCCTCTACATCTTCACCTACCCAGTCCTCCTTTATGCCTGGCTCAGAAGAAAAGAAAGCCCTCCTTCGTGCCCAGGACAATCCCTCCAACCTCTGTGCCCTAGGTGCAATATTTTCCCATCTTCTCTAGGGGTTCTATTCTCCATTGGCCATCAACCCCTCTCGAGAGAATTTCCCTTTCCTTTCAATTTCTCCCTCTGTACTGATTCCTTCTCCACTGTCTACAATCATTCTCAGATTTACTCTATCCTTTAAAAAAAAATCTTATTTGTCCTTGCCATCTCTCTTCAAGCTATAATCGTGTGTCTCTCTTTCCTCTCTCTACCAGACTCCTAGAAGGAAATCTCTATGTTCCCTTTCTCTACTTCCTTACCACCCAATCACTTTTTAATCCCTTGGAATCTGTTTTACATCACCAACCTATTGAGACTCAGGTAACTAATCATTCTCTGAGGTAAACTAATAATCCTTTAACTGCTAAATTCAATGTCTTTTCTCAGTTCTCACTCTTGTGAACTTCTCTGCAATGTTTGGCACTGCTGATTCATCCCCATTCCTCACCCCCTCTTTCTGGACACTCCTCCTTTTGGCTTCTATGACTGTTGTCTCCATGTTCTCCTCCTACCTGTCTGACTAGTCCTCAGTTTCTTGGCTTAACATCCACCCGTCTTTTGCTGTTTTAGCATGGGATATTCTCTGGCACTCTGCCCTAGGTCCTCTGCCTTTTTTTCTCTACACTCTCTTTCTTGGAGTTTTCATCAGCTGTCATCTATTCTAGAATCTTCTCTATGCAGATGACTCCCAAATCTATAAATCCAGCCCTAACCTCTCTCTTGAATTCCAGGCATTCATCATGTAGCTACTTGTTGAATATAGTCTCTGGTTGTTCAGTAGGCATCTCAAACTGAACATTTCCAAAATGAAATTCATTGTTTTCCCCCCTAAACCTCCAATTTTCCCTACTTCTGGTGAGAGTACTACTATCCTTTCATTCATAATTTGGGTATTTACATCTAAGATGTAAGTTCTCTTCAAAATCTGAGAATCTATAATTTATTTATGGTGTAAGGACAAGCAGTCTATCCCCCAGAGAGTTGAGTCTATACTTCAGTAGTTCAGGCAATGACTCTCTGGAGGAGTTGGGGTGGGAGGTGGCAAGTAGAGGATACTGCTGGTATTAGAAGGGGTTCGGGAGGCAAATTAGCAGTTATTTCCTTTGATCCTGGGATACAGTAAGAACAATGTTGGGGATAAAGGTCCCTGGAGAACTCTAGGGGAAGGGAGAAGAAGAGGAATATGGTATTCTTAATTTGGGTGCCCTGTTGACCCACCCTACTTACAATTCTTATAATTTGTGAGGGACTGATTTGTCCTTGTGTGCTCTTGAAATACATCTGAAGAAACAATTCTGTTTCTGAGATAATGGGGGAAACTGGAATGATATATTCCTTTATAAAGCTCTATATACCCTCTCCTCTTTTGGAAATAGGTAAGATACTAGTTAGCTAAACCTGAATGGTTGAAGCATTAAATTACTACCCTTGATAATGAAGTTTCTTGATTGACTAAGAGAGATCTTGGCCTTGTCAAGGAGACCAATGGTCTGGTTCCCATTCATTTAAGCAGGTGAATCCTAAACTGGTGGAGAGTATTTTTAGGCCAAATTCACCTTTTTCTTTGGGGTCCATGTGGGATCCAGCCACTAGAGAGATTAATGACTAAAGTTAGATCCAGGGACTGGTAACTAGATAAAATGTCCTATACCTTATCCCATACCTAGTAACTAGATAAAATGCCCCATACCTGGGATAAAGTACAGAATGAATGCCTCTCTGAGGCTGACACGTATGTGTATTTCTAATTACTTTAAAGGTGTCATATTTCTGAATTTGTATAGGTTTCTTTCCTTTGTAAGGCTCACCATCCCCTCCCCCAAATGTACTCTTGTGATCTGGAATGGGAGTCGGATTGGGGTTTGGAAGAGGAAAGAAAGGAAATTCAATTTAATTAATTCAACACTAATTAAGTGCTTACTGTGCCTACTGTGTGAAAGGCAAACTAGGTGTTGAGTATACAAAACCAAAAATAAAATAGATTCTGCCCCTCAAGAAGCAGCACATATTACTGTAAAAGAGGGGTCAGATCAATCAAC